ATGTTTATAGATTAAATCTCCCAATTTCTCTGATGCAGGTCTGTTATCTCCTACAAGACGGAGTCGAAGCCTCTGTTTTCCCCAGAAACTGTTGCTAATGCAGGTAAAGTTTATTTTTATTTTTTACTATGACTTTACGATGGCTTTTATATTTCTTTTGACATGATACAATGACATCCGCCACATTATATTTCGACCCTCTTTAATATGACATTTTTATATTTTTTGACATGCAATACTATGACAATACTATACTTTTTCAACATACTATAGTAGGATTTCTTTTTAAATGTCCACATACTATACAATGTCTTTTTTCTCTCCTGACATACTATACTGAGTTTTTCCACAATATTTGTCATTATACTGTTTGTTTTTTTGTGTAGAATATTACAAACAAACTGTACATGAAATGTTTTACTTGTTATATTAAGACTATTTCACAATACTTTGATATACTTTACTATGACCTTTTCATATTTCCTGACATACGATACTATGACGCTCTTCGTAATTCTAAACTATGACTTAAAACAATATTTCTGATAAACTTGAACATACTATATTTATCAAACGGTATGCAGAGATCCTCAAGTGTCTCCTACAGATATATCCTGAACTTATGTGTTCCTTCCTCTCACAGAGAGCATGAGTGTCTATGATGACATTGATGCTGACGTGCTGAGGAGCTACCAGGAGTTTGCCATGGTCAACATCATCTACATGGCCATGAAGGAATCCACCACCGCCGAGCAGAGCGCCAGGATGACCGCCATGGACAGCGCCAGCAAGAACGCCTGTGAGACTTCACTTCCTGTCTATATAGACAACAGGGCATATAGAGAATTTGTAGGAATAGGATGTGCTGACGATGTGTCGTCTTGTTATATTTGGTCATCTTTGTGCTGTAAAATCTTTACTTTACAATGATGTCTGACGAAGAAAACAAGCAAATACACTCGTTTCAGAGGCCGGAATCAGAATATTAGGCCACATTTCCCTAATTCCGTTTTAATGTAATCATTTTCATTCATTTAATTAACTGTAGGAAACAGGGGTTTGGACCTATATATTGTCACGGTCATGACTTTTCACATCTTGTCCTGCTTGTTTGAAACGAGTATTCAGTACCGAGTTATGCTTTAGGATTTCACTCTTTCACAATAAAGTTTTATATTTTGATGTGATGGACGTTTTTCTCTCTTTTCAGCTGAGATGATTGACAGGCTGACCCTCACCTTCAACCGTACCAGACAAGCGGTCATCACCAAGGAGCTCATCGAGATCATCTCTGGAGCTGCCGCTCTGTAAGTACATTTACAGATTTCACCTCAGTGACTCAACACTTTTTCCACCACTCTACTAACTTTTCACAATCTAATGGTTATAATAAACCTTTTGTCATCCGTCTTCTAACCCTTTGCTGAACTAAGGAACTGATGTGTTTTAAAAGCGGAGGTTACATTGTAGGCTGTAAAGTAAGCATCACTGGTTGGCGAGTGTGAACAGCTTCTCATGTAGAAGTGTGCGCACAAAACATTTGAAATAGTCTAGACAGTAGTGTGGTTTTTAGTATCCCTCCGAGTTCCCCTAGCTGAGTTCTTGCTGTTTGTGTTCTTACTTCAATTTCTTTCTTTGCAGATAAACGGGCAGGATCTTCGTTCCCATTACCTATAGCTCTTCAAAGAACTTCAGACGTGTCGTCCAGAGTGTCTATGAACATTTGTGCTTCTATTTGTAAAATATATGGAGAAAAATAAACCTCTTACAGAACCATCATGCTTTTCATCAGTCCCTGTATCTCTTTCCTCACAATAAATGCTGATTACTGTAAATGTATATGTTGAGGCATCACATTCATGGAACTCTTCCTCGCAACATGGGACTTAATTACAATTTTAAAATATATTTAAAAGGCATTGTCTTAGATTATTAATTGTATATGTTTCTGTTATGACATTTCTTTATATAGAAATACGGTTACAACTCTGGATATTATAATTATCAGCTGTGGCACAGAGGATGGAATCTGGCATGAACAAAGAGACCAACAACTATTTACTCAATAAATGTGAAGCCAATGACAAGTGTTTTGGGAGTTCCTGACTTAAGAAGTATTTTTCGTGTTTTGCCGAGTTGCTTTAATTGTAAAAAGTGACACGCACACAGATTGAACCCAAGCAATATTTACTCAAGAACACTTCAAACACGACACAAATGTGGTTGTTTTCATATTTTTCGTCTTGCTATACTATTTAGTTTTTTCTCATTGATGACATACTAGACTGTCGTTTTTACTATACTATTTAGTTTATCATATTTTCGACATACTATATCGAAAATATGAGAAATACATCGTATGTCGAAAATATTTTAATTAAATAGTATATGTTGGGAAATCTGAAAAAGCTATAAGGGACCCTTATTAAAAAATGATACCGGACATAGGGGCTAACCCTTATCAAAAAAGTATAATATATATAAGGGGGATCCTTATCTACAAAGTTAGTTCCGGAAATAAAGGGTGACCCTTATCTAAAAAAGAATTAAAGTGTATATAAGACTTATCATAAAACCTAGTTGTAGACAAAAGGGGGGAACATTATCAAAAAAGTACAAATGTTATATAAGGGTGGACCCTTATCTAAAATGTGAAGTTTGTATAATAGTTTATATCCATATATAAAAAGTAGGTTCTCGACAGAAGTTTCCGACATACAGTATACTGTGTCGTTTTTTTTTTTTTTCGACATTCTATATTATGTCGTTGTTCTATTACACATTCTGTCCTATGACTTTTTTTTCGACATACATACTATTTATGTTTTCTCTCATTTTTCCACATATTATACAATGTTGTTTTCAAATACATTTTTAACATACTAAACTAGGACTTTTTTGACATGAAAACTTTGTCATTTGTTCTGATTTTTGGGCATACCATACTATACTTTTTTCAAAATCCTATACTGTCTTTTGTTCTGATGTTTTTTTTACATATCAAGTCAAAAGTCAAAAGTCATACCAATCAAAAGTTTGGACACCTTCTCATTTGAAGTTTTTTATTTATTTAAATGTTTTCTACATTGTAGATTTATACTGAAGACATCAAAACTATAAAAGAACACATATGGAATTATCTAGTAAACAAAAAAGTGTTAAAAAATCCAGAATATGATTCATATTTTGCTGACTACTGCAGAATGCTGTGGTAGACATGCTGGTTAAGTATGCCTTGAATTCTGAATACATCACCAACAGTGTCACCAGCAAAGCCCCCCCCCCCCCCCTCTCTTCTTCTTGTTGTTCATCATCAGTAGTGGCTTCTTTGCATCAATTGGACCATGAATGCCTGATTTTCGCAGTTTCCTGTGAACAGTGGATGTTGAGATTTGTCTGCTACTTGAGCTCTGTGATAATTTATGTGGGCTCTAATCTGAGGTGCTTTAATTTGCGGTTTCTGAGGCTGGTAACTGAGGTAACTCTTGATCTTTCTTTCCTGGGGGGGTCCTCATGAGAGCCAGTTTCATCATAGCGTTCGATGGTTTTTGAGACTGCATTTGAGGATAAATTCAAAGTTCTTGACATTTTCCGGATCGACTGGCCTTCATTTCTTAAAGTAATGATGGACGGTCGTTTCTCTTCACTGAGTTGAGTGGTTCTTGCCATAATATGGATTACTATAGTCAAATAGGGCTTTCCACTGTGAGACCAACACAACTGATGGTCTCAAACCCATTAAGAAGGCAAGTCATTCCACAAATTGACTCTTGACAAGGCACACGTGTTAATTGAAAACAATTCCAGGTGACGACCTCATGAAGCTGACTGAGAGAAGCCAAGAGTGTGCAAAGCTGTCATCAAGGCAAAACGGGGCTACTTTGAAGAATATAAAATATAAATCATATTCTGGATTTGTTAACACTTTTTTGTTAACTAGATAATTCCATATATGTTCTTTCATAGTTTCATGTGTTCTTCAGTATTAATCTACAAAGTAGAAACCAATTAAAATAAACAAAAACCATTGAATGAGAAGGTGTGTCCAAACTTTTGACTGGTACTGTATATTGACATTTTTTACGAAATATAATATTATTTCTATTTATATGACTTGCATTATTTTAATGCAGGCATCAATGAATAACTTTATCATTTGTAGCTTCATATTACATAATGTCACTGCAGTTGAAGGCAGTGTGGTTCACTAGGTGTCCACCAGGCGGCACTGTCTGATAACAAATGAGTGTTGTCAGTTTGAAACTGCAACCTAAAACTCAAAGGGATTAGCAACATAACAGTGTCTTCTGATCTACTATACTCATATGAAATATCTGTTTAAGTGCAGTCTTTTTGCAGAGATCTTATGGCTTTGCATGTAATCGCAGAAACAAAAATAAACATTTAGGTTTCTAGCAACAGTTACTTCCATACGAAGATAGAAAACAAAACACAAGGATATTTTGTTATGCATTAATTATTGTTTGCATGTCCGTTTGCAGGAGTATGCATTTGTGCAATTGTGTTTGTGCGTATAGATGTATGTTTGTGTGTGCATACATGTCCTGCAGGCCTTGTTTGTCTATTGTATTTGTGCTTGTTATTGTTTACTCCTGAGGGGAGTGCGGAGCGATTGCATCTGAACACTGAAATTACAGCGATGCCAGACTCTGATAAACAGTCGCAGAGCAGCAGCCTTCTCATCTCCCCCTCGCTGCTGAGTCCCGGCGATACAACATCACATGCTTTTGGGTGAGGAAGGGTGAGGAAGGGTGAGGGAACAGGGGCTTTATCATTTTGGGAATTCTGCAAAGGTAACAATTGTGAAAGAGCTAATTTGGGAAGTTACATTTGTATGCCAGATGGATGGTACGAAGTATGGAGAATAGCAAATCTTTGTCTGGATGCTTGGAAGAAAAACAGAGCACACACTCGAAAAACAGAGCACACACTCAATATTAAAACACATTTTTATTTATTTTTTACTTTATAAAGCTGACATATAACTCGATCTTTAATCTTCATCTCACAGTTTAAGACCTTATATGTTTGCTTTTGGCACAAAGATCATGGTAACCAGGTTAGCGTTGAGGCCCTGCTTTTCAGACATTTTGCTACGCAATACCAGGACTCAAACCAGCAGCCAGTTAAAAGCCACTACTTCAAACAAAGCACAGAAAAAAAATACACAATGTTATTATTCTGTTATTATATTTCACAATGAAACTGTGTAAAGTGTGAAGCTGTATGTGAGGGTGGTTTGACAGTTTGCGCTCTAATGAAATGGCTGTGTGAGTCTGACTGAAGAGAAAATACTAAATGTGTGTAGTTCTGCATTAAAAGGTATAACGGTGTGTGAGTGTGCAGAACGAGTGAAGACATCTGATCATTGTGTTCAGGGGCCCCGCCGCCGCTCTGTATTAGCTTCACCTCGTTATCGTTATCGCCCTCCTCCATTGTGGCATGAAGGGCGGAAAATGATTAGAGGAACAGGTGACAATGGAGGGAGAGATTTCTGCCTTTACCCGGGGCAGCGCCACTGTCAGGTACAGCGGCATTACACTCAAAAGAAAAGAAGAGGGGCGCTGCACAAAAGAGCTCCTTTCTTACTTTAAAACACTCACGTCTTCCTCAGGAGTGCAGAAGGGGTGTTCATGGGAGCCAATTGACTTCCTCCATCCTTCTTTCAGGTAATCATGGCGAGAAAGGTGACGAGTAAAGACTTTCCTCCTCCTACGATATGATAATTCTTTACTGTCAGATGTAGTCTAACGTGTTTCGAGCATCACACAAATATTACAAAACAAGTAAACTGATATTTGACCAAACATCAGAATCACTGAGGACAGTACGTTCAATACCATTTAACGTCCATTTGATTGACTGAATTTAATTTTAGTATTAACTGGTGCACTAAAGTGGGCTTAAGTCTAACTTTTAATAAATCATGGGACCCTGACTCATGATTTATTAAAAGTTCATGGGACCCTGATGGTGAACAATTCATATTCACTGTTTGGGACATGTTTGGATCAAAAACAATGTTGTTAGCAAGCCTCAAAACATTATTATTGTGAGGTGGTTCATAGAGTTTTTACAATCTTTGGGTAGATTTTCAGATGTAGTATTACAATACTGTAAAATCACTCAATACACTCAAAATCAAAGATGTACATTTGATTGTAAAAAGATCTAAGGCGAAGGAGAAACTACATTCTTAGTTTTGTTCTTTTGCATATCTATTCAATTTGTTCTTTCTAGGATAGAAGATATTCTATCATTACACCCAAGTATTTATATAAAAATGCCTGCTTGTTTTTTTCACTATGGTTATTCTTCACTCCCTTCTTTTTCTGATCTGAATGAGGGAGAGATAGGGAAGAAGGAGGGGGAGACAGGAAGCAAGGCTTTTTCCCACGGCGAAGTCTTTGCATGTGAGCGACATGGACTCTGATGTAGTAACGCTATGGCATTATCTCATTCAACCCCCCCTTCTTATCTCAATGCGTCCCCTTACCTCTTTTCTCCCCCCCTTACACAAAGCTATCAGCTCTGTGGACTTTTCTGACTATTTATGTCGGACAAGGTCAGGATCGTTTAAACCGCTCTCAGCCCCTGCAGATGAGATAGCGCGGGGAAGAGGGAGAAACGATCGATTCCCGCCAACACGCAGATTTATTCCCCTCCTCCTCCCCCCCCTTCCTCTACCCCCTTTTCTCTCAATGGCGTTCCCAAGCATCCACTGCTGCCACCAGGCTCATCAGTCTCTTTAACACCCGTGGTGTTTAAAATACAGTAGCTGCCCTTAAAGTGGCCACTTTTTCTCCCGGTCCAAATGAGAGTCGGCCCCCCATCAATCTGTGGGCTCGGGTTTCAGAGGGCCGTGAAGGGTGAGGCCTGTGGAGAGAGAGGAAGAGATTTAGACAGAGGAAGTGGCGGTTTGTATCATTCACATGGGCGTTTTACAAATGAAGAGGGCACTTACTCAGACTGAAGGCTTGATTGTGAAGTGGGAGAGAAGAATACATGTTTTCAAAGGCCAATAAAGACCCTGATATTTAGGGCTTTAAAGCTGCTGATAACATATATTTAGTGCCACTGTTTAGTGGTAATCCTATGTCAGTCAAACAGCTTCTCTTCAACTGTGTTTGTAATTTTGGCTTTGAGTGTGGCGGTTTAGTTCTGTTTAGCCATTAAAAGGTTAGCTAAAACAAGCATTACACACAACAATTAGCTGTCAAAAAAAGGTTCAAATCTTTCAAATTAGCTAGTAAATCATTATCAGTTTTAATCAAAAAGCAACAAAATGGGCAATACTAGTATAAAAAATGTTTCAACTAATAAAAAGAGTCCCTAAGTTTATAATCAGGCTATTTATTCCATTATCTTAAGGGGACCTATCATGCAAAATGCACGTCTTTTATACATGAATATGTGTCCCCGGTGTGTCAGGGAACTCACCAAGTGTCAGAAAACACAACCCTCTCTCTTTTCCTCCATACCCAAATCTCTAAAAACGGGGCTGCAACGGAGCTGATACAGATTTGAAATTGTTCTTACGTCAGAAACGGGGAGCTCATTGCCGCTCGAAAGCGCTGGAGACGCTGTAGTACATATGCCAGGCCTGTAAGTGGCGCTGTAGTCTGCCAGCTACTGTGCTGTTGTATTTGCTGTAAAGTGTCTTTACTGTAGGGTATTTTTATTATATGTACACCACTTTGGCTCGACCAAAAATCGTTTTAAAAATGTGCTATATAAATAAAACTTGATTTGATTTGATTTGATTTGCCACAAAAGCAGCGAAGAAGACTTCTCACAGAATCAGCCCTTGCAAAAACAGGGCTGGAAAAGAGTAAATAGAGCGAAATGAGGCATGGCTAAAATGCATGATCTGTTTGGTATTTTGAAAAAAAAACTTCACAGACATGTTTTATATAGGTATAGCCCTACAATATATATTTCAAATATAGCATGATAGGTCCACTTTAAATATCCACTTGTGTGATTCAGAATTCTAGAATGAGTTGGCCAATCTTCCCTACATTTTTTGTCAGCTGAAACTCCTGATCAGTGGGTGTTGAGGACTTCAGCACAACAGTTCACACTTCCAGTTCATTTATGATCCAGGTGTATTCTGTGTTTTTGATGGATAGAAACTCTGAGCAAATAGAGCAATTATTTATGGTTTCAAAGCATGTTATCCCTTTGCTGTAAACAGTCTTAATATTCTTCCTGGTCTCTTTGTGTATTTTGTAAATTGTTTAATTTTTGTAATCTTTCATATTCTTTTATGCATGGTTCTTGGTTAAGCTGTCTTTGGCTCTCTTTCTTGCTGTAACAAATGCACATTTCCCCTGGAACGAATTGAGGTATTCTGATTCTGATAAGTTGGGGATATACTTTCAGTGTTTTCATAACAATCTGTTAAAAAAACTCCCAAAAAAGCAATGATTGTGTTATCCAAGATGTTATTTTTTATCTTGTCCCAGCAGCGCTTTTACCGAGTATTTTTTACATGGTATTATAGCTACTTTAACTTAAGAAATACATCTGAGCACCTCTTCCACCACTGTGTGTATGTGTGTGTTTGTGTGTGTGATCCCCTGCCACTCATGTCTTGGGTTACTGTGTTTCTGGCTGTATGATAGATGGCTCTGCCGGACAGCATGTCACTGCCAGTTTCCGCCAACTGCGTGTGTGTGTTAGAATATGAGGATGTCTATGATTCTGTGTGTTTTTGTGTGTATGTGTGTGTCTGGCCAGTTCCGACCCCCCACTGCAACAGGATAGGTGGGTAAGGATGGCGTGGCAGTGTGTGTGTGTGTGTGTGTGTGTGTGTGTGTGTGTGTGTGTGTGTGTGTGTGTGTGTGTGTGTGGTGTGGTGTGAACTGCCTGAGGTCCGTGTCCTGCTGTGTGTGTCGGCCCCAGTCCTTTCCTGTCCAGACCACACGTCTAACCAAAACCCAATGTGTGTTTACGTGTGTGTGTGTGTGTGTGTGTGTGTGTGTGTGTGTGTGTGTGTGTGTGTGTGTGTGTGTGTGTGTGTGTGTGTGTGTGTGTGTGTGTGTGTGTGTGTGTGTGCCAGGGAGTGTGTGCCAGTGTGTGTTTATTCAAGAGGGTGTGTGTGTGTCTTAGTCATTCACAATTCTACTCGAGGCTGCACCTAATGATTATTTATCTCATAATTTAATCCATTGAATTTAGTAATGTGATTATTAATCTATTAAATAATACATCTGTGAAAAATGCAGTAAGTGACTTATCCAGACAAACCTTAGTTTCCAAAACCACAATGACGTTGATTAATTTATTTACATATTTTTCAAATTAATCAATGATTTGTCACATATTCAGAGAACTGACATCTTCAAATTGCTTGTTTTATCTGACCAACAGTCCAAGAAAAGATAAACAAAAGCAGTAAATCCTCATATTTATCATCCTTAATTTTCCTTTATTAGTCTGTCATTCATTAGCTTGTATGATATTGGAAACTATACGATTCTATCTCTTCCCATCATCCTTTTAAATCTAGTAATGTTTTTATTTAAATCGTTTTGGCTCCAATATATTCTGTTCAATCTGTCTTCTTTCTGTTGGATAAGCGTCTTAAACAAGTAATGGATTATCAGAATAGTTGTTTCAAATCCCAATAATGTAAATAGCCCAAGAGTTGATCTCCTTGTACCTCCTTCACCTTTCCATCATACTTTCACATCTAATAATTTCATTTTTTCAACTTTTTCTTCAGCCTCCCATGTGTGCACTCCATCTTCTCAACCCAATCTGTGATTTTTCTTAAAATAGATTCTGAGATTTCCCCGCTGATATCAGACAAACGGCACCTAAAGGAGAAGGAGAAATAAGTAGTGAAATCCCGGCCTCCCCCCTTCCTCCCTATTCTTCCTGCCTCTCTCCGCTGCCAGCAGACAGTGTGTTTCTCAGCGTCGTGGAGATTATAGCGGGGAATGACAAGCACGCCGTCTGATACCATATCCGCTCTGAATTACAGATCAGCCCTTTTTAAATGATATTTTAAATACTTGCTGCAGGCTGCGAGTTTTCACAGGGTCTTATTTCATTGTTATTATACTAGTACCATATTTTGTTAGAAAACCAGTGTTGGCGCTTATTTAAATGAGGGAGAGCCGATATACACTCCAGTGTGTTTTTACTGTGCCACTTTGGAAAATCCCCCGCTATACTCCTCACATACACCCACCACCCCTTTTTTCTCCTTTTTTTTTAAACTGTGTGTTCTTGGTGGGAATTAAAAGGGAGCAGTGTGAAGAGGACAAAAGAGAAAGGACAAATTGTAATTAGTTTGATTTTGTGTGTGTGTGTGTGCTTGGCTGTGAGGTTGGTGGAGCCCATTAAGGGTTAGATTCCCACACAGAAAGAAGACTGAGGCTTTGATTACCTCTCTCATGTGTTAAAGGGGGAGAGAGGGGGAGCCTTTCTCAAAAATAGGCAAGGATTTGACTTGAATTGTTTCACCGTCGCTCTTTTTGATCATTGAAAAATGTCCCTTTGTTTTTCTTTGTTTTTTTTAATATGGAGAGCCTCGTTTAGGATTGTAGAAGAAAGAAGAAGAAAAAGAAGAAGAAATAGAAGAAAGAAGAAGAATACAAAAACAGGAGAAGAATAAAAGTATAATAAATACTATTTTAAAACGCTATAACTGGCTGCCATTACTTTTTCTATGTTCCACTTCCTTGAATGTGTACTTTAATTAACGTGTGCTTGCCTCTTGGCCCTTGCATCTTAATACTCTAATATCTGTTTTCTGTGATGTCCCCTTTGCTATAACAATGTAAATGTCCCCTCTGTGGGACAAATAAAGGCTTTCAGAAGAAGAAGAAGAGGAGGAGAAGAAGAGGCAGAAGAAGAAGAGTGTGTGTAGTTAGCGTGGGGGTGTGCTGGGTGGCGCTGTTGCCCCAGCCATGCTCCCCCTCTCAGATTAAAGGTCCCTTGGTTTCAGTCGAAGGCTCTGAGCTCTTTGTGCTTTGGCGTTTCATGATGGGATTCTCTGGAGAGCAGAGGATGGAGAACGACACTCCTTCCCCCTCTAACCCTGTCTCTCTCTCTCCCGTTTCCTCTCCTTCTCTCCCCCCTCTCTGCTGGAATACACCCTAACCTTGACATATTGAGAATGAAAACGACGGTTCCACATCCCATGCTCGCTTGTTGACAGCGTTAACGCTCTTTTCATGTGTGTTTTGATAGCTGAAAATGAACCATATTAGAGTGTTTCGAGAAATGACGTTTAGTGTGTGTGCATGTGTGTGTTTGTGTGTGTGTGCGAGGACATGCAATGCCTTAAATGCGTGTGTGCATGTCCACATAACTCAATTTTTTTGACAGAAAATCATTTTTGTTTGCTCCCACGCACACACACAAACACACACACACACATACACACACATGAAACATCATTTCTCTAAACACTAATTGTGATCCATGTTTGTTAAGGTCTAAGAGAGAGGTATGTAAAATAGGCCCATGGGAGGGGAAATAGAGTCATAGGGGCTAAAGCAACAATTTTAACCCTGCCAACCTCTGTCTCACCCTCTTTACAGATGTCTCACCCTTCTAACCCGTGTCTCACCCCTCTATCTTTTGTCTTACCCTTCTTACTGCTCTCTCACCCCTTTAATACCTTCCTAGCTGCAGTCTCACATTCATGTACCCTCCAAACTGCTGTCACCCCTCATATACTGTACATACATGTCCCCTGCATGTCCATTGTATAATACTATCATAATATCATCACCACTGCAGTGGGTTGAACATTGTGTGTGTGTGTGTGTGTGTGTGTGTGTGTGTGTGTGTGTGTGTGTGTGTGTGTGTGTGTGTGTGTGTGTGTGTGTGTGTGTGTGTGTGTGTGTGTGTGTGTG